CAGGGCAACTGTATTATCTTCATCAATATTTGTATTGTATGTTAGTGCATAGCAAGAACCTGTAAGAGAAAGTCCAGAGGAAAAATTTCAAAGAAGAAATTACACCTGCAAGATGTTAGTGGATTATTTTCACAAGATAACCTGTCTTCCAGGTAATTAAAGGTCAGTTTCTACCACTGCTCCAGTCTATTCAATAAACCAAACATCTGCCAAAGGTAAGCTGGAGCATGCAGAAGACCAAGCTCCAGCTAGTTCACTCCCCGACCAAGGGCCTATTTGTGCAAGTATACTATCATCAAGCAAAAAATTGACTCAGAATGGAATGTGACTTTTGGGGATGCATGGAGAGGGGTACAAAGTAGAATTCTAGATAAACATACACATCTTAGAGGCAGAGTTCCGGGTTAAGATTCAAAAGCTACTCAACCTCTCCAAGCCTCAGTTTCCTCACCTGTTAAATGAGGATCATAGGCCTGCTTCATAACATTGTTGCAAGGGTTAAATTTGGTAAGATATTTAACAGTGCCTGCTACAGCCAGTGTCCATGTAATTGACAGAGTGGTATCAGTGGTATTCCTCAAAATAGATGAAAGGAGTAATGGTGATGAGACCAGACAAGATGCCCAGCTCATAAGCAGCCCCAGCAGTGTCAGAATGAGAGGAGCTACTGGTAACTAGAATTCTTCATATCTTCACTGGAGAGGACACATGTGGGGGCTACCACAAGATAAGCATGTGGCCACTGTACAGGTGACTCACGTATGTGGGTGGAATCCCTAAATACCCTCTGAAATAGTTTCAAACAAACGGCTCCCAGGAAACAACTGAAACAAACCACTCCAACCCAGCAGATGTGGGTGGAAATGGGGTGCGCAGAGAGGGGTTATGGCTACAAAATCTAAGCAGAGGACACTGGACCCCAACGAGCACTCTGCTCTGTGAACAGTAGCTGTGGCTGCATCTGGAGACCAACCCTCTGAGGCAGCTGCTGTGGGGCTGCTCACAGCACAGGGTCTCTGCAGTCACTTCCTCGAAAGCAGTGCATCTGAACACAGACTGCAAGTCTCTCCTCTCCATCAATCCTCATTTTAAGGGGACGGATACCCTCATGTTACAACGTCCCCATCCAACACTTGTGGGCAATTGCAATCAGAAACCACCACCTAAAGAGGGCACAAGAAAGAACAGGATGAGAACGGGGGGCGGGGGGTAGTGCATGTGTGCACCTGACCACACAGACTATCCCACAGGCCCTGTTCAAAACAAAATAACAGCCCCAGCATTGTGATGTGGTCTACCTACACTTCCTCATCTTGCCTTGTTTAAAGCCATTTCAGGTTTTTCTTACCTTTCTTTATAAAGGTACTGATGAATTCGGGTGTAATTAATTCATGAAGAGGTAAATTCTTCACAAAGTAATAGGGTCCAGTTTGCATGACCAGATTTTTCAGTTCTTCCGATAGTATCCCACATTCAGGAATGAGAAATGAAACCTATTGGAATGTGTAATACAAACAAGGTCTTACTTCCATGAAGATGAACACCCAGGTTTTTAGGAATGAAATAAGATCATGAAAGTTGTTATTTCTCCATGAGTTTCACTGGAACATAAAAACACAGGCAACAAAACTCTTACGTTAACTTACCTATCTCAGGCAAAGAGAAATCTGACTACTCAAGTTTTTCATTTCTGCATTCAAATGTACAGTACAGGAAGGGGACTGAATAGAATACTTTTAATGGAAAACTCTTGCTTGCATTTTATCTTTTGCAAATTAGCAATACTGTATATTTTATGTCCTATTCCTTTCACCATTTTCAAGGAAATATAGTACAATTGAATATCCCTTGATTTGTTTACCCTGGTGTTATCCTGGACGGAAATGAACTGTCTGTCGGGGCATAAGGAATTAATTTATGGATATCCAATTACTAAGAAGCTGTGTGCAAGCAATGGTGCTCCTGTATGTTTCCAATTTCGAGACAGAAAAGTGCAACAGGCGAGTTAAGGTATACATCCCTGGCTGCTGTGATGAGCTTTCCATCCAAAATAGGTGTTAAAAACAGGACAGGCTTCAAATGTTGCCACACTGTAAAAGTCATCACTGTCCCAAGGGTCAAACACTAGCCTGTCCTGACTGATCAGGTCACCACTTAAATCTCTGAGACACTGCTCAGTCAAACCTGAGTTATTAAGCTGATCCATTTAAAGTGTAAAATGTTTAATCCCCCATTATAAGGTTGGTTTCTTGAAGTTTCTAGATATCACATTAGTTCCCACAACCAATTTAGAAAATCAGGTAGCTTCCTGGGCCAAGCCTAGGCAGAATGCTCCGGAGAAATCCACAGGTATGCAGGTGGTGCAGGTGGGAGAGGGATCCAAGCTGGGGAGAGAGGCGGTGGTGGGGACGAGGTGCGAGACCCGCCCTGATTTGGGGAAAAAGCGAGGTGCACGTGGCTGCCCGGCAGCTACACATCGCAGCCGTCACACCGTCGTAACTCTCCGGTCCCGGCCCTAAACCTCGAATCCCTCCCTGGACCCCCTCCCAGTTAGGCGGGTTGACCCGAGTAAGCAGCCAGAACGCCCCTGACACAGCTCCCTCCAGACTGGGTGCCGCCCCCACGCCCTGCCTATCCTGGGAGTTGTAGTCCTGCAGCCCTGCAAACCACTGGCCTACAGTAGTTAAGAGACTACAACTTCCAGCAAGCCAGGCGAGGGCCCCCGCCCCTCCGCGCACCGCCGGCGGCCCCGCCCCGCGAAGCCTAGCACTCTCCCTAAACCTCTCTCGCACGCAGCGATTGAGCACGGCCCGAAAAGCCGAGGACAACCGGACTCACCCTGTAGTTATAGTAGTGCGTCTGCACAAGATGCCGGTGGCGCGACTTGTGGTTGCCGAAGTTGGATTTCTCGCAAACCAGTAAGTGCCGCGGCGCCTCCCGAAG